TGACGTGTTCAATACTTATTTTACCCGCTGTATATATGTTTTCAGGGTTTAACAAAGAATGAGTGTAATAACATGAGTTTTCTTGTTCCAGGAAGTAACTGTGGTGCTTTTCCAGACRTGACTAATGGAAATGTTAACTACCCAGACGGGGGTACTTTGTTCACTGACAGAGCTGAAATCACCTGCAAGGAAGGGTTAGTAACAAACTGATGAGCTGATTGTTTTTATTGAGACACCATTGTTTTTTAAACAGATAATTGTTTCAGTTTAAGAAGCTGCCTGCTCTCCTTCCGTGCTTTAACTTTATTTTCTTTCTCCAATTAGTTACATATTAGTTGGTAAGARCATAACCTTGTGTGAAGCTCAAGGATGGGCGGACAGGCCACCTGTTTGTGAAGGTTAACAATCTTTGTGATTACTTACCTAGAAATGTAGTTTTGCTTTTAATTTAATACATGGTGTGTTGTTTTGTAGTGGTGAAATGTTCTCCACCAGGAAATGTTGCAAATGGCTTTTTTAGACCCATGAAAGAAACTTACAGTTTCTCCGAAGCTGTGATGTACGAATGTGAAGACGATTTYACACTTAGTGGATCAAAGGAATTAACGTGCTCAAAAGATGAGAAATTTCAACCTGGTCTTCCAAAGTGCATCAGTAAGTGTTTTTAKTATTTTATTAATGTTTTATTTTCTACTGCAATGCACCAACAGCCWTTTTTTTGTACAATTATTATTTCAGAAGTTGAATGTAAAGATCCTGAAATAAAAAATGCTGAGTTTGTTGGRGGTTCTCGACCTCCACACAAGTCCTCTGCAACAGTGACGTACAAATGCAAACCTGGTTACTACATGAGAGGAGAGCCTACCYTGACATGTAACATAAATAGTCAGTGGTCACCTGGAATCCCAAAATGCATCAGTAAGTCACAAATCAAAMATTTCAGTTAAATGGGATTATTTTCATCAGATGCCATTTAAGTACGTGTTGTACAATATGTTAATGTTAGAGAATCTTTGAAAAGTTATTTTATTTTCCACATTTTACTTCTGCCTTTTTTTTTAWAGAAAAAGATAAGAGCAATCCGGGCGATAAATCCTCAAAGTAGCATAACAGTAATACATTGGGGAAAATAAGTATTTAGTCAGTCACCAATTGTGCAAGTTCTCCCACTTAAAAAGATGAGAGAGGCCTGTAATTGACACCTTAGGTAGGCCTCAACTATGAGAGACAAAATGTGAAAAAAAAATTTGAGAAAATCATTTTTTCTGAGAATTTTTTTGCAAATAATGGTGGAAAATAAGTATTTGGTCACCTACAAACAAGCAAGATTKCTGGCTGTCACAGACCTGTAACTTCTTTTTTAAGAGGCTCCTCTTTCCCCCACTCATTACCTGTATTAATGGCACCTTTTTGAAG